CCTGAACCCGGCACTAACCCTATAGCCTACACCCCACAAGCCCCAAACCTCCAAACCGGAAAGAAAGCCCAAACCCTCAACTCGAAAACCCCAAAACCCTAAAGCCCTAAACCCTAAACCCTAAACCTTAAAACCCTACACCCTAAACCTTAGACCCTCAACCTTAAACCCCTAAACCCTAAACCTTAAAACCCTAAACCCTAGACCCTAAGCCTTAAAACCCTAAACCCTAAACCTTAAAACCATAAACCCTAAACCCTAAACCCGGCTCCCTGTCTCCTGACTCCCCATGTAACTCTCGATGTCACAGTCAAAGCCGGGCTCGGGCTTCTGCTTCTTCTCCTGGCCTTGAGTCAGAGCCCCACGGTTAAGGTTTAGGGTTTAGGGTTTAGGGTTTAGGGTCCTTTTTGAGGCTTAGTCTTAAGCTTTATTGTTCTACGGCTTCGCTAGATGCTAGATTCACAAAAGTTTTGCCAGGGAACCTCCCTAAACCCTAAACCCTTCCTGTTCCTACCTACGAGAAGTCCCGGTCCATACGTGAAAGATGTGTTCGAGCAGGACTACTGAGCTGAACATCTGCATCTAATAGGGCCTGAATAACTTGAACAGGATAGAATAGGGTTTGGGGGTTTGGGGGCATATTCCAGTAGTTATAAATACATATAGATAATAAGGAACCCAAAAAATGGTATAGGTAATTTTTTAGGCCCCTATGTTACCTCTGGTTGGCGATGCCTCGGGTCAGGAAGATTCTACATGGAGGCATCTGTGCCGCATTGTGGCGAGGCGTGTGGGCCTTGGGCTTGAAAATCAGGTGGAGGGGTCCAGTTAGGCCTGGGGTTCAAAAGGGAGATCAAACCAAGATGACTCAACGGGAGTACCCAGCCACAAAAAACAGAAGTGTCCGAATCCCTGAGACGCATTTCACATGAGATGGTGACACAAAATCTTGCTTAAACGCACAATTCAAAATTTGAAAGGCACCACATAGTGCATGAGGGACAAACCATCTGACCAATAGAATTACATCACTGAGCCGTTCGTCAGGGCGAACTTGCCATTTGCCAGGGTTGCTGTGGCCCCAGCACACACTAGGTTCTAGCTGCCCCCGATCATCCCTCATTCAGCTCTCTCTTTGCCGGTCACGACTTTGAGGAAGATCTTCGTGATGGACACGAACCAGATGCAGGATAGAACGAAGAGGCCCATAACAGAAACTCCGTTCATGAGCGCGAAGTGCATTGGAACATGGGCGGGCAAGCCACGGTAAAGATCGACACAATAGACAAGGATCAAGGCGAACACAAAGCAAATTCGCACGGCGATCCAACAAACCCAGCAGCTGCTGACTGCAAGCTTGTACAGCGGCTCCTTCGTCCAGCCGGCTTCCTTCATCATCCGCGTGGCGACTAGGCACGGTGTAGTGATCTCCATGAGAATGACTGCACATCCCCAGAATGTGGCCGTGCGTAGTGTGAGCCAATGCAGGCAAATCACCAGCGTCACCAAGTGGTGCAGCCAAAAGGCCACGCCCTTGCCATAGGCGGCGTAGAAGACCTCGTAACGAGAAGCTAAGGTTGGAGCAGTATCAAAAGCGGCCTACAGCACACTACCTGCATCATTACTCGCAATACCCCAGTGCTCAGGTTCCGGCCAACTCGTAGAGGTTGAAGCCGACGAAGACACGGCCTGCCCACTCACCCGTCGTGGCAGGCCCTGAAGCCACGTTCGCCCAGCGAACTTCCGGGTCCGTGAAGCCGTCGCTGCACAGGAAAACCGCGCTTAGAGTGACCATGGTGGGGGGAGCCACGAACAGCATCAGCCGGTTCGCCATCTGCTGCTGCTCCTTCGGGTCCATATCACGTGCATGTGGCCAAAATACCAGCAGCCGTCGCAATAACGTGTGCTGCAGCATCATGGCACCTGTCATGCCGGCGACATCGACTGCGAGCATTGCCGGATCGCTTGGGAACTTATGAGACCTGGCTGTCGCGTTGTGCTGCTTCTACAATCCTGATGCTGCAAAGAACCCTGATGCCGCAAAGAACTTGGTTTGAGTTCCTGAGCTCCCTAAACCTGCATAGCGAGCCCTGAACGTGAAATGCCGAGACTTCAACCAACCCGACATGAAAGCTCCGCAGCATGCTGAACCAGAACTCTGGGTATAGAGTCGTCAGGCTTTCGGAGTGGATGGGGGCGACGCACATGGAATCCTGAACACCATGCCCTCGATCCGAATCACTCAAGTAAACAGCACGCCAAAACCCCCAAGTCCGTGGAGTGCGTGCTACTGTTGCTACAGTGTGATTCATTCAATACATCACCGCCATTGTCATCATATTCGTCCACAGCCATCAAACATGATCACGGTTTCCATCATCGTCATCATCATCATCATCCTTATCATCATCATCATCATCATCATCATCACCGCCATCGTCATCATCAGTGGAATTAGCTCAATGATGCGATCGCTGCTGTACTTGTTACTATATTCTCAATTAGATCAGGTGTGATTGCTGCCATTCAAATCGGACGCGATCATCGCTTTAATTGTCAAGGTGGTCGTGAGGTTGAGGGGGCTGCCTCTAGCAATGGCTACGCGCATTCCTGTGTTCGTAATGACCGATGGTTACCGTGCTTCTCCACATAGGAGTTTCAGAAAATTAGGGTACCTTATTTTGGGGTCCTTATAATAAGGAACCTATTATTTAGGGTACTATATTAGGGTCCCCTATTTTTGGAAACCCCCACATGAGCGCCAGACCAAGCTTGAAGGACAGAATACGAGACCGGGCATTCGTGAAATCCTGGCTCGCAGTCCTCAGGACGTCCCAAAGCAGATGTGGGATGGGATGGTGACACAGCATAGCCATTCGACACAGTGGAGAAAACTAATGTAGGGGCCTTCATAATTAGAATCGGGTTTTGGGGCCCATGATGCTATAATTACAATAAGGAACCCCCAGAGCAGTATTCGTAATTACTCAGACCTTTTTGCACCCAAGACAACTCCAGTTCAGACCCGGACCTGCTGCTGCAAAAAACACCCGAAACGCGACCCCCCGCCCCCCCAACTTTGAAAGGCAAAGCCTTGTGATCCCGCAGCAACTGCTAGAGCCGCAGCTAGGTTCATGAAAATGGCCGGGCGTTGAGGGGAAAAAGCTTCGGCAAGAAAGAAGAACAGCTTAGGTTTAGGGTTTAGGGTTCCTCCTACTACAAGCGTCAATGCATCATCCTGCGTCTTCGCCGGCAGTGCACTCAAACAATCTTTGAACTGCGCTTGAGCTTGAAAGGATAACTTGGTCCCTAAACCCTAAGCCCCTAGACCCTAAACCCTAAACCCCTAAAGCCTAATCCCTAAACCGATAAACCCTAAATCCTAAACCGCCCTCAACTTGACCTAGAAGCTCAGCAACGGCCGACCCTGAGCCGTCCCCACGCAATCTATGCCAATGGCCAAGCAGGTCTAACATGTCATAGAACCCTCTAGGATTTAGGGTTTAGGGGTTTAGGGGTTTAGGGGTTTAGGGGTTTCGGGGTTTAGGGGTTTATGTTTAGGGTTTTGGGGTTTAGGGTTCAAACCTCCTTGTATGAAAGGTTATAGAACCCTTACACAGCTCTATAGTCTTCTATAAGGCCAGGGTTCTCCAGGACCCCTGGACCCGAAGCGGCCCTAAACCCTAAACCCCTAAACCCTATAAACCCTATAAACCCGTAAACCCTAAACCCTAGACCCTAGACCCTAAACCCTAAACCCCTAAACCCTAAACCCTAAACCCCTAAACCCTAAACCCTAAACCCCTAAACCGGCCGGAGCACTTCGCGCCCTTTGGGACGTCGAGGCCGAAAGTCAGAAAAGCGTAGGGCCAACCGGCCCAGAGCTCGGGGCCTCGGCTTGGGGGGGGGTGGGTTTAGGGTTTAGGNNTTAGGGGCTTTAGGGTTTGGGGTTTGGGGTTTGGGGTTTGGGGTTTAGGGTTTAGGGTTTGGGGTTTGGGGTTTAGGGTTTAGGGTTTAGGGGCTTTAGGGTTTAGGGGCTTGAGGGTTTAGGATTTAGGGGCTTTAGGGTTTAGGGCTTTAGGGTTTAGGATTTAGGGGCTTTAGGGTTTAGGGGCTTTAGGGTTTAGGATTTAGGGGCTTTAGGGTTTAAGGGCTTTAGGGTTTAGGGTTTAGGGGGGTTTAAAGACGCTTCCGTGCACCGGAAACCATAAGATGCGCAAGCATTAGGCGCACCGGCTGCCCACTTCGCCGGATGGGCGAGCGTCATAAGCATCAGCTGCAAATCCCGGTGGGTGTATACAGGAGGACCTTCAACGACCCTCCCGCGCCGTCTGTCCCTAGCGATTAATCTCAGCTTCCGCACGTCACGGATATCAATGGCTAGTTGGAGAATCCGCCGGATGGGCGAGCATCATGTGCATCAGCTGCAACAGTCTTCAACGAATACTCGCCTTTGGTGTAGTACAGCAGGACCTTCAGCGGCCCTTCTCTCAACCGAACGTCAGCTGCGATGGCTCCTAGCGATTACTCTTGGCTGGTGCGCATCACCACCTCTAGCAGCTAGTTGCAGAATCCGCCGGATGGGCAAACATGGCGGGCATCGGCTGCAAATGCCTTCAGCGACTACCCTCGCTTGGTGTAGAGCTGGACCTTCAGAGGCGCTGCTCTACACCGAATGGCGAGCTTCATGAGCATCAGCTGCGACTGCCCCTATACATTACGATCCGCTGCAGAGCATAACAGGCATCAGCAGCTAGTTGCAGAATCCGCCGGATGGGCGAGCATCATGTGCATCAGCTGCAACTGCCTTCAGCAACTACTCCACTGGATGTGCATCAAGACCTTCAGGGGCTATGCTTTCCATCACAAGGGCAAGCATCACGAGCATCAGCTGCGACTGCCCCTATACATTACTATCCGCTGCTGTGCATAACTGGCATCAACAGCTAGTTGCAGAATCCGCCGGATGGGCAAGCATCATGAGCATCAGCTGCAACTGCCTTGAGCCACTACTCACGCTTGGTCGACATCAGGACATTCAGCGGCTATTCTTTCGCATCAGCTGCGACTGCCCCTATCCATTGCTACAAGTATCAGCTGGTGTGCATCACGGGCATCAGCAGCTAGTTGCAGATCCGCCGAAAGGGCAAGCATCTTGCGCATCAGCTGCGACTGCATTTATCCACTACTATCAGCTGGTGTGCATAACAGGCATCAGCAGCTAGCTGCAGAATCCGCCGAAAGGGCCAGCTTCATGCAATGCGCATCAGCTGCGACTGCCTCTATCCATTACTATCAGCTGGTATGCATGACGGGCATCAGCAGCTAGTTGCAGAATCCGCTGGATCGGCGAGCTTCATGAACATCAGCTGCGACTGCCTTCAGCGACTGCTCCCGCTTGGTGTACATCAAGACCTTCCAGCGGCCCTTCTCTCCACCGAATGGGCGGGCATCATGAGCATCATCTGCGATTGCCCCTTTCAATTACTCTCGGCTTGTATGCCTCACGGGCATCAGCGGCTGGTTGCAGTACACATGAAGACCTTCAGCGGCCCTTCTGTCCACCGAATGGGCGAGCATCATGTGCATCTGGTGCAGCTGCTTTCAGGCACTACGCCCGCTTGCTGTACATCAAAACCTTCAGCGGCCCTTCTCTCCACCCAGTCGGCAATCATCATGAGCATCAGCTGCGACTGCCCCTATCAGTTACTATCAGCTGGTGTGCATAACAGGCATCAGCAGCTAGCTGCAGAATCCGCCGAAAGGGACAGCTTCATGCAATGCGCATCAGCTGCGACTGCCTCTACCCATTACTATCAGCTGGTGTGCATCACGGGCACGAGAGCTAGTTGTATATCCGCCGCATGGGCAAGCATCATGAGCATCAGCTGCGACTGACCCTATCCATTACTATCAGCTGGTGTTCATGACGGGCATCAGCAGCTAGTTGCAGAATCCGCCGGATGGGCGAGATATCATGAGCATAAGCTGTGTACATCAAAACCTTCAGGCGCTATGCTTGCCATCGCAAGGGACAGCATCATGAGCATCACTAGTTGCAGAATCCGCCGGATGGGCGAGCATCATGAGCATCAGCTGCAACTGCCTTCAGCGACTTGGTGTACATCACGACCTTCAGCGGCCATTCTTTCGCATCAGCTGCGACTGCCCCTATCCGTTACTACAATGTCAGCTGGTGTGCATCACGGGCATCAGCAGCTAGTTGTAGATCCGCCGACAGGGCAAGCATCATGAGCATCAGCTGCGACTGCCCCTATCCATTACTATCAGCTGGTGTGCATAACGGGCCTCAGCAGATAGTTGCAGAATCCGTCGAAAGGGCCAGCTTCATGCAATGCGCATCAGCTGCGACTGCCTCTATCCATTACTATCAGCTGGTGTGCATCACGGGCACGAGAGCTAGTTGTATATCCGCCGCATGGGCAAGCATCATGAGCATCAGCTGCGACTGCCCCTATCCATTACTATCAGCTGGTGCTCATGACGGGCATCAGCAGCTAGTTGCAGAATCCGCCGGATGGGCGAGCATCATGAGCATCAGCTGCAACTGCCTTCAGCGTCTACTACTCCCGCTTGGTGTACATCAGGACCTTCAGCGGCTATTCTTTCGCATCAGCTGCGACTGCCCCTATCCATTACTACCATGTCAGCTGGTGTGCATCACGGGCATCAGCAGCTAGTTGCAGATCCGGCGAAAGGGCAAGCATCATGAGCATCAGCTGCGACTGCCCCTTACATTAATTACTACCAGCTGGCGTGCAAAACGGGCTTCAGCAGCTAGTTGCAGACTCCGCCGGATGGGCGAGCATCATGAGCATCTGCCCCTATCCATTACTATCAGCTGGTGTGCATGACCCGCATCAGCAGCTAGTTGCAGAATCCGCCGGATGGGCGAGCATCATGAGCATCAGCTGCAACTGCCTTCAGCGACTACAACTCCTGCTTGCTGTACATCACGACCTTCAGCGGCTAGTCTTTCGCATCAGCTGCGACTGCCCCTATCCATTACTACAATGTCAGCTGGTGCGTGTCACGGGCATCAGCAGCTAGATGCAGATCCGCCGAAAGGGCAAGCATCATGAGCATCAGCTGCGATTGCCCCTATACATTACTGTTAGCTGGTGTGCATAACGGGCCTCAGCAGCTAGTTGCAGAATCCGCCGGATGGGCGAGCATCATGAACATAAGCTGCAACTGCCTTTAGGGACTACTCCCGCTCGGTGTACATCAGGACCTTCAGCGGCCCTTTCTCCACCGAATGGGCGGGCATCACGAGCATCAGCTGCGATTGCCCCTTTCGATTACTCTCGGCTTGTATGCATCACGGGTATCAGCGGCTGGTTGCAGTACACATGAAGACCTTCTCCACCAAATGGGAGAGCATCATGTGCATCAGGTGCAGCTGCTTTGAGGCACTACTCGCGCTTGGTGTACATCAAAACCTTCAGCGGCCCTTCTCTCCATCCAATCGGCGAGCATCATGAGCCTCAGCTGACTCGCGATTACTCCCAGCTGTTGCACATCACTGGCATCAGCAGCTATTTGCAGAATCCGCCGGATGGGCGAGCATCATGAGCATCAGCTGCAACTGCCTTCAGCCACGACTCACGCTTGGTCTACATCAAGACCTTCAGCGGCTATTCTTTCGCATCAGCTGCGACTGCACCTATCCATTGCTACAAGTATCGGCTTGTGTGCATCACGGGCATCAGCAGCTAGTTGCAGATCCGCGGAAAGGGCCAGCATCATGCGCATCAGCCGCGACTGCATCTATCCATTACTACCAGCTGGTGTGCATCACGGGCACGGGCACGAGAGCTAGTTGTAGATCCGCCGAAAGGGCAAGCATCATAAGCATCAGCTGCGACTGCCCCTATCCATTACTATCAGCTGGTGTGCATGACCCGCATCAGCAGCTAGTTGCAGAATCCGCCGGATGGGCGAGCATCATGAGCATCAGCTGCAACTGCCTTCAGCGACTACTACTCCCGCTTGGTGTACATCAGGACCTTCGGCGGCTACTGCGACTGCCCCTATCCATTGCTACAATGTGAGCTGGTGTGCATCACGTGCATCAGCAGCTAGTTGCAGAATCCGCCGGATGGGCGAGATATCATGAGCATCAGCGCGACTGCCCCTATACATGACTATCCGCTGGTGTGCATAACGGGCCTCAGCAGCTAGTTGCAGATCCGCGAAAGGACACGTCGTGCGCATCAGCTGCGACTGCCGTTATCCATTACCATCAGCTGGTGTGCATCACGGGCACCAGAGCTAGTTGTGGATCCGCCCGATGGGCAAGCATCACGAGCATCAACTGCGACTGTCCCTATCCATTACCATCAGCTGGCGTGCATAACGCACATCAGCAGCTAGTTGCAGAATCCACGGGATGACCGAGCATCATGAGCATCAGCTGCGACTTCAGCGACACTCCCGCGTGGAGCACATCAGGACCTTCAGCGGCCCTTCTCTCAACCGAAAGGGAGCATCATAAGCACGAGCTGCGTTTGTCCCCGGCGATTATTCTCAGCTGGTGCGCATCACAAGCATCAGCGGCTGGTTGCAGAATCCGCCGGATGGGCGAGCATCATGAGCATCAGCTGAAACTGCCTCCAGCAGTACACATGAAGACCTTCAGCGGCCCTTGTGTTCATCGAATGGGCGAGCATCATGTGCATCAGCTGCGACTGTCCCTAGCCGCCCTATCCGCTACTGATCAGCTGGTGCACGTCACGAGCATCAGCAGCTACTTTCAGAATCCACGGGATGACCGAGCATCATGAGCATCAGCTGCAACTGCCTTCAGCGACTTCTCCCCTCTCTCCACCCAACGGGCGAGCATCATGAGCATCAGCTGCGACGGTCTGGCGATTACCAGCCTGTGCGCATCACTGGCATCAGTTGCAAGTTGAAGAATCCGCCGGATGGGCGAGCATCGAGCATCATCTGCGATTGTCCCTCGCGATTACTCTCAATTTGCTTCCCCCCCCAAGTGAGGCAAGTGGGGCAAAATGACCAAGGTTGCAAGATGACCAGTGGCCGACCAAAATGACTTGGGGTTTAGGGTTTAGGGTTTAGGGTTTAGGGTACAGTGGCCGACCAAGGTTGCAAGATTGACCAAGATTTGCTCAACAATCAAGCGTTCTAAATTCCCGGAACGATGTACTACTACTGCAACCACTGCTGCTACAACTACAACTACAACTACAACTACTACTACTACTACTACTACTACTACTACTCCTGCTGCTGCTACTACTACTGCGACTAATACGACTACTACGATGCTACCACGACGACGACGACTACTACTGCTG